TGCTTCACATCTACTGTTAATTCTGTCTGTTCTGGCACAAGTACACTACTGTTCAACTCCTGCAAATAAATTTGCAGTTTTAGTATATTTTAAAGTATTTTCAGAATTGTAAGTGAAGTTATATAGGGAGTGCATAGAAGAATTACCTAAAACTTCCTATTTGATACAGTGGAATGAGATTTATTCTTCTGTAGTTAACCTGTGTTTTACTAATGCACTGGCTCATAGCAGAGCCAGTGAAAGAACTGCATGAAAGAATTCCTAATGATTCACAGATCCGTTTGATGTCACTTTCCCCCCTGTATATCTATTTAAATTTGCAACATGCATCTGTTCTTACTAGTGGCAGAACATACCTGCCTTGGCATGCAGAGGGCTGTAACTCATTTCTGTCACAAGATGAGACATTTTAGAAAATCAGTAGGGTATTTTATACATTTTGCTCCATCACAGCACATGAGAACGTAACTTAATTAGCTTCTTTGGTTGATTCCAAGCTGTCCCTCCAATGAACAAGTGATCCTAATGCCAGGGATAGGTCTTTGTTATTCTATCTCATTGACTCTTCATAAAGGGCTGGGAGAGGTAAAGAAGAGTCTTTCTTGGAAAGTTTATTTGAAGAAATAACTGGATTTTGGGGTAAGAACTTTGGCAGTAATGGTGCCGTGGGCATCTTCCAAAAGACAGAAATTTTAATAAGTCAAAAGCAACATGCGAACCTTTTTATATTCAAATTCTAAAGCTTCAAAGCAACTGAAGAATACAACTCATATTAGGAGGCTCAATATTCTTCTTTAAGCCTTCTGATTTTGCATCCTTGCTTAGAAAAGTGGTAAAAATAAACTCAGGTGAATTCCCCCATAGTTCAGGGCCCAAAAAAAGAAGAAAAAAAATTGCAAAATGATGATAAATATATCTGGTTTTTGAAGAATTATTTATAAAAATATTATCAACATATTAATAAATACTCATTCTTTTAATGTTTCTAAAAAACACAGAAAGGTCAGAAAGATGGGATAGTATTTCTGGTCCTAGCACTAACTGAAAGGTCAAAGGATTTCCCAGCAGCAGTGATTCTGTCATCTTAATTTCTTTCTTAATTTCTTTTTATGTTCATAATTTATAGCCAAGTGCAGCTTTAAAATTATTTGGAATGGGAGGAAATAAATCCTTTGCAGCATTTTTTTCTTATCATAGTTCCCAAAATTACCTGTTCTTTGTTACTCTATCTAAATAATTGGAACATAACTAGCTGTGATGACTTCCCCCCCCACCCCAACAACCTAAGTGCAGTAGCTGCTGAGGTTAAGAATATATTTCTTAAATACTTATGTTCACGTTTTTGTTACCAATTGTCCACTGTGTTTTAGGCAGCCAGGGCAGATTAATTGTTAGTGAAATTCATTACGACAATTATGATACCCCTATTAAATAGCAATTATATATCATAAATACCTTGATTTACATGGAAAAGTAGTGTATTTTGTGTTTGCCAGTTAGGAAAGTCATGGTTTGGGGCTTGGTTTTTGGGATTTGTTTTGGTGGGGTTTTTTATTAAATTAAAGAATCTTCAGTTATCCTGCTTTAAGGTTTGGAATTGTGTTCTGAAAAAGGAACTATAGAACAGGACACAGAGCAGACTGCTCTAAATTAATGATTTCCAGATCTTAAGGAAGGCTTTATCCTCTTGCCAGAAACCAGAATCTCTAGAGATGTTTTATGTTTTCCACAAACTTTATTAAAAACCGTTCTAAGAAAAATAGCCATTAGGCAGATAGCGAGTTCAACTACGCACCGTATGCAAAAATCTCCAGGCAGATTTCACAATGAAAGTGACCTTGGTTTTGTTCAGGTTCATAGATTCCTGTCTCGTGCCAGAACATAAGTCTTTAGAAGACAGAAACTGCATTTTTAGAAGTCAAACAAGGACAGGTGGGAATAGAGTTAGAACTACAGATAACCAGCTGATGCTGAATGTTCACTTCAGCGTAGCTCAGTAATCCAGCTGAGTACCAAGGTGATTATATCATGGAATCATAGAAAGGTTTGGGTGGGAGGATGCTGAATGTTCACTTCAGCGTAGCTCAGCTGAGTACCCAGATGATTATATAAAGGAATCATAGAAAGGTTTGGGTGGGAAGGGACCTTAGAGACCACCCAGTCTCCCACCAGCCCAGGTTGCTCCAAGCCCCCTCCAACCTGCCCTTGAACCCCTCCAGGGATGGGGCAGCCACAGCTTCTCTGGGCAACCTGGGCCAGGCTCTCACCACCCTCACACCAAAGAATTTCTTCTCCAGATCTCATCTCAATCCCCCTCTCCCAGTTTGAAGCCGTTGCCCCTGGTCCTATCACTACAAGCCCTTGTAGTCAAACATCCTGTCCTCTGCTGTAGCTCTGTGCTTTGGGATTTCTCAGTGTCTGGAGCCTGTTAGTACGGGGTGAAATGTTACAGTGATGCATTTATGACTGATTTGGCCATTTTTGCTCTTTTTGAGAATTACTGAAAATACAAACAAGCAAGAAACGCATCTTGGCCTTTTAATTTTGCTGCTGTTTATTTGCAGCATACAGTGAAAAATTTAATACATATGTTGAAGCGTAATTTCTGCTGCTTCGTTGTGCATGTCAGTACCAGCTGTATTACTGCACAAAGTGGGAAAAGCAGGACTTAATTGCTGTCTTATTCTTTTTTAATAAATTCTAATGATACATTTCTTATTAGAATGTGTCAAAAATCCTGAAAAGGTTATTTAACAATTGATTTGCCTTAGCATTATTTTTTTATTGTTCATTATACATAACTACAAAAAGAGAATGTCATCCAGTCTGAATGTAATATTTATAAAACTCAAGTAGTCTTTTTTGTAAGATAAATTTATATCCTTATGGAAGTTTCAGGGAAAGGGATCCCACTAAGAAATTTTGAATACATTTGAAGTTGTTTATTGGTTGTTCTGCATACAAAAATTTTGTACAGTCTAATTTGTATTTTGTCTTCTTTATTTCTTACACACTTTAAAATGGTGTATTTTCAGTTTAAAAAAGCAAATAAGGACTTTGGCATGGCAAGACTATATATAGCTAAAATACTAAGTTGGAAATTAGAAATGCACTTGGCAAATCTTTCTTTAGGATAAATCTGAATACAGGATGATCACAGGGCACTTGTATTTACAGGACTGACTTGCTAAAAAGTGAGGAAGATGTAGTTTTAAAATCGGATCTGATTTACATTTTTGTTTATTTTTGCTTATTTTTAGTTATTAACACTATCTATATTTTGTCCTAATTTACTAAAATAATTAATTCTGGAATACATTAAGAAAGTCATGCTCTGTACTGGTGTGTGCCAAAATCATAGCTGTGGGGTTTTTTAAGTCCCAGCTATTAGAATGTGTCAAAAATCCTGAAAAGGTTATTTAACAATTGATTTGCCTTAGCATTATTTTTTTATTGTTCATTATACATAACTACAAAAAGAGAATGTCATCCAGTCTGAATGTAATATTTATAAAACTCAAGTAGTCTTTTTTGTAAGATAAATTTATATCCTTATGGAAGTTTCAGGGAAAGGGATCCCACTAAGAAATTTTGAATACATTTGAAGTTGTTTATTGGTTGTTCTGCATACCAAAATTTTGTACAGTCTAATTTGTATTTTGTCTTCTTTATTTCTTACACACTTTAAAATGGTGTATTTTCAGTTTAAAAAAGCAAATAAGGACTTTGGCATGGCAAGACTGTATGTAGCTAAAATACTAAGTTAGAAATTAGAGATGCACTTGGCAAATCTCTCTTTAGGATAAATGTGAATACAGGATGATCACAGGGCACTTGTATTTACAGGATTGACTTGCTAAACAGTGAGGAAGATGTAGTTTTAAAATCAGATCTGACTTACATTTTTGTTTATTTTTGCTTATTTATAGTTATTAACACTACCTATATTTTGTCCTAATTTACTAAAATAATTAATTCTGGAATACATTAAGAAAGTCATGCTCTGTACTGGTGTGTGCCAAAATCATAGCTGTGGGGTTTTTTAAGTCCCAATTCTCTGATATTTCAGTTCAGGGATACTATTCAAATTCTACTTTCCCCTGGTTTCTTTTTATGTTTCACCCTCTTAATTTATGCGATTTGCTCAAAAAATATATGTGGATATTTAGTATTTTACAGTAAAATACTGAACTTGACTGTAGTTCCTTGAATATACACAGCTAAGTTGTCCGTGCTTCTGGATGATCACAGGGCACTTGTATTTACAGGACTGACTTGCTAAAAAGTGAGGAAGATGTAGTTTTAAAATCGGATCTGATTTACATTTTTGTTTATTTTTGCTTATTTTTAGTTATTAACACTATCTATATTTTGTCCTAATTTACTAAAATAATTAATTCTGGAATACATTAAGAAAGTCATGCTCTGTACTGGTGTGTGCCAAAATCATAGCTGTGGGGTTTTTTAAGTCCCAATTCTCTGATATTTCAGTTCAGGGATACTATTCAAATTCTACTTTCCCCTGGTTTCTTTTTATGTTTCACCCTCTTAATTTATGCGATTTGCTCAAAAAATATTCTGGAATACATTAAGAAAGTCATGCTCTGTACTGGTGTGTGCCAAAATCATAGCTGTGGGGTTTTTTAAGTCCCAGCTCTCTGATATTTCAGTTCAGGGATACTATTCAAATTCTACTTTCCCCTGGTTTCTTTTTATGTTTCACCCTCTTAATTTATGCAATTTGCTCAAAAAATATATGTGGATATTTAGTATTTTACAGTAAAACACTGAACTTGACTGTAGTTCCTTGAATGTACCCAGCTAAGTTGTCCGTGCTTCTAAGTAAAGAGATGGTAACAATGGCTACTGAGCAGAAATAAGTTTCTGTAACATGCCCATTACTTTTGTCTGCCCTTTTTATTTAGATTCCCATTTTCATGTTCTGTCTTGGGTGCAGATTGTTTACTGTCTGTTGTCTGTTGAAATTTTTCATCATATAGGCAAAATGCAGGATGGGAATATGGAGAACAGCCAGAACAAAGGTAATCTTCTTTCATATTAAGGAGGTTGTGGATTTTATTTTTAGCATGTAGTTAAATTCTGTTAAAAAATAAAATGAAAAGTTGTGATTTGTGCCTGTGTGTGAAAATGGCCCTGTTGTTCAAACAGAATATTAAAATAACCCCAGAACCCAAACCCAACAAAAAAAAACTTACCACGGAGATTATAACTTACATAACCCCAGAACCCAAACCCAACAAAAAAAACCCACGGAGATTATAACTTACGGAATTTTGATGTATCAGATATTTAGGATAGGAGATCAGTGTTTCTAATAAGCTGTTTATAGATGATAGTTTCATGTCACAAAGCTCATTTGAATTCATTTTTCTTGTGCAAGTTCTGTATGCGATGTATTGTTGGTGAACTTCCAACCCTATTTTTGATACGTCTTGTCATCTTTGGTGTTCAGTGGTGTTGTACAGACACATTTTATTTTGCAGGGAGAAGATAAAGCAATAACAAAAAGAAACTTTAAAGCCAAGAGGTTATTTAGCAATGTAAAAGCATATTATAAGGATAAATAACAGGAAGATTAAGAATCTCAGGAGTTTCTTATTTAGCGTACAGTCTCAGGAAGAAATTGAAATAGATATTTAGCTTTCTCTGAAGCAAAGTCATGGCTCTCTTTTTATTATGAGAGACTCCAGCAATTGTGATTTCTTCAGGTTATGCCAAATAAGTAAATTAAACTGTAACTTACTCTTCTCAGTTAATTCTAAAGATTGCAAAAGTGCTGGATCAGAAACTGAATACATAAACTCAATTGTTAATGGAACAAAACTATTAAATAAAATTATATTAAACGACTAAGTTTTAAGGTCAGATAGATGAATTAGATTTCCAGGTCAAATAAGCAAGGTTTTGTACAATCTGTTCACGAATGTCAAAGCAAAGCTATTTCATCTCATTCTATTTGATTTACTTATGTCTGTTTTCAGTTCAAAACAGGCACATACACATATATAAACTGGAATGTCATTGCTTATAAAAACCGTCTTTGATACGAAAATGAAGTTTCCTTATATTGGCATTCTTTCAAGAAAAGATGGTTTAACCTTTAAATTATGTGTGTTCTTATGGAAGAATGGTGATGGTATCACCATCTGACCTGATGGCTGAGTTGCTTGAACACAGAATGCTCAGGAAACTTTTTGAGTCTGGTATGGGCTAGAACAGTGGTTCACACAGTGGGGTCTATGGGTCACTGAGTGCCCAAGCAGCCATGAGAAGTGGTGCATGGATCACCTGTGGAACCACATTGCCTTCAAAATGCTTTCATTAACAGTTTGATTATAGAGGTGCATTGTAATCTGTGAGACATACCAAAATTTAGAGAAACGTAGACCCTCTATTTGCCAAAGCATTTGAGATCTGCTGTTCTAGAAGATCCCGCAGTACCGATGCACTGGTACTCGCCAAGTAATTTGCAAGACATTGGGTGATATATATGTGTATAACAGAGAATTTCATTGGCAGTTTGAAAAATAGATAAATGAACCCCAGTGGTTTTCATGGTACTCAACCAACGGCACATTGCACATCCCATACGTACGGAGGGCACACGGGTATGTCCTACAGACCCTCCAGAACCCCCTGGGTCTCACAGGGGCATCTCCCTGCCCTGGGAGGGAGGGGTAGTTCTGTGGTAGTTCCAGTCATCTATGGTGCAATCAGCCCCTGCAACGGGTCTTCTGCTGGTGGCATTCAGTAAGTATTAACACTAAGATAAAAAGATTGAAGAACTGTTTTGGAGTAACAGTTTTGTTCTGCATTACTAGCCAAGCAGCAGGATGGGGCTGCTGCCATGGAGATGCAGCCACTGAAGAGTGCGGAAGGGGGAGAGGGAGATGACAAAGACAAGAAGAAATCCAACATGCACAAGAAGGAAAAATCTGTTCTTCAGGGAAAGCTGACCAAGCTGGCGGTGCAGATAGGCAAAGCAGGTATGGCTGGATGACTGACCCAATAGCAGTGTGTTATATGAGCAACAAAGTGTTATAAAACAAATTATTCTTAAAAGGGATAGTCCTTTCTTATTGCAACATCTGTAAATAGGTCATTGTAATACTCTTCCAAGGATAGCATGTGGTATTAAAGATCTTTTATTCTTCTAAACTCCACTTTGTCAAGAAACTGGAAGCTTTGGGCAACTTGGATTGTAATGAATATTTGAATCAAAATTAAATGTAGCTTTTCTCATAGGCAATGAGCAGTAATTACGTATTTAATTTCCTCTCCCCTTAGAACTTCTGAGTACACAGTTTGAGAATCTCTAATATCATCTCAAAATATCACTCGCACAGTATCTTCCTCTTATGGATTCTGAAATCATTCTGTTCTCTCTTAATAACCATGTTCCTGCCTTCTTCCCAAATATGACACATCTGTTGACTCTTGTAGCCTGTACCATCTGGCCTCTGCTGTTACAAGTAGCACTTCTTCTCCAACATGTAGGTAGAAAGTGAAAATTCTTCATAATGACATTTTTCTAGAGGTATTAAAGCAATCTTGATCTCTATCCAGATCCTTGGAGAGATCTTGGAGAGATCTTGATCTCTATCCAGACCCTTCAACAGATTCCTAACTTCACTTCTGTTGATCTCCTTTATCCTTCTTTACCAGTCTGATTTTTACCCCAACTATTCCTTCTCATTCCTTTTTAAGCTCATTACACTTAGTTGATCACGTAACCCCATGATGCCATTCCTGTCCCTTTGCCTGAACATTGCATGACCCTGAATCTGTGGTTACTGTCTCTTTAATACCCAATTTCATGCTTTGCCCAGTTTCATATTCTTCAGGCTTCTCTGCGTTGTTGATAGTTGTACAGGAGTGTGCATTGATATAAAAAAACCTTAATTTCTCTTGATCATTAATTTCTTAGATTAAGTACCTTTCTACCTTGCATTCTGATTATTACTCTCCTTGGTATTTTGGAAGGCTTGTGAATGTCACATTTAAAGTAATTTTTTAGGGATTTCTAACCATCGTGTGGCAATGAATATGAATTAAATTAATTATTCATTACCTCGTTTGGTTTTTCTTTGTCACTGGGCAATCTATGGGGATGTCTTGCGTTGTCATGAGTATTTGCCTGTACAATATTTTAATGGATTTTCCTTTATCCTCTGGCATTTAGTAGCATCCCTGACTCATCTGTTTCCTGTCAACCTTAGCATCCTTCAGCTTACCAATTTTTCTTTAACTTCAGTCAAGACATCAAATTCAGAGCCTTCCCCTTCTACTGTATGATCTAATTACAGCGAAATTAATTTATTTTGAAATGCAGGCTTAACTGCTTCATAGAAACCTGCCAAAGAGCAGTGATCATAGCAAAGCAAAATACACGTTCTAATGGAGTTTTTATGTGGATACTCACATCCAGGAGCCCAGTTGTGGAGGAGGAGTGCCATCTTAGCAAAGTCTCTATCATTGGGAGAGTCCATTAAGTCCCTGGGATCTTTTGTGAATTCCGTGAAATACTTAGTAGTGTCTCTTGTGCTGTGCTGTCAGCATTTTACCTCTTTTGAGCCTCTCCTCATAAAAATACACACTGTTTGCATGTACCCCTTTCAAAAGGAAAACTTTGGAAACACTAGTATTTATCACTTTATCAACTCCGTGGATGATTCCACAGCATTGGATCTGTGTATCCAACCATTGTATCATTGTATCCAACCAGAGGCATCCGTAGGGCTTCTCTAAAATATTTTATACAGCAAGAAAAACTACAGGAGACTCTTTTTCTCAAGCCTCTTAAGATAAGCTTATTTAACAGAAAGATGAGTGTTTGTATATGGATAGACTAGTAATTTGTACATGGTGGAGGTTAAAAGGACAGATAAATGTTGCACCAGGCAAAGTAATGTACTGAATTGAAAAAACCTTGAGCAACCGTGGAACTCCTGTTGAAATAGATGGACTGAGAAGCTTTCCAGGCAGCAGTAAGATGGTGCTTAAAAATTAATGCACTATGTTTCAGCTGTTCTGTAGAATTCAGCGTTCCCTTATTCACTGGAAGGTAAGGTGTTGTAAATCTATTAGAGTGATGTTTTTTCTACATTGCAAAATTTATCGTTGCCATTGTTGATACAGGTGAAAAATGTCACATAGAATAAGAAAATGATGTCATATCAAATTCAAATGTAAATTTCTAATTGCAGATGTTTGTAGTTGTGTTTTGGTTTATAGTAATTGATTGTTTCTGTTTTCAGGTTTGGTGATGTCTGCCATCACTGTAATCATTTTGGTACTATATTTTGCCATTGACACATTTGTGGTCAACAAGAAACAGTGGTTGCCCGAGTGCACTCCTGTCTATGTTCAGTATTTTGTTAAATTCTTCATTATTGGTGTTACTGTACTTGTGGTTGCTGTTCCTGAGGGACTGCCACTTGCTGTCACTATTTCTCTGGCTTACTCTGTAAAGGTAAGAAACATTAAAAATAATTATGGGAGAAAAATGCCGTTCAGTCGAGTTTGCTAATGCTATTCTTCGGGTTTTATTGTGTGTGATGAAAGTTGGCCTGCAAATTAATGTGCTCCAAATGTTAATGAGAGTGAAATTTCTTTAAAGTGAAACTTTGATCTATACTGAAAGTATTTCTGACAAAAACGCAAATACATATGTATTCTAAGATGTGTATCTAAAACTACACAGCACAGGAATATCAAACAGTAGAAATAGCAACTTAGTTTGTGTAGTTGGCAGGAATTGATTGAGCAGAATTTACAGTCCTTTGATACAGAATAACTTTGTCTTCAAATTTTCTTGTGCAATAGGACAAAGTTTTGACACGGATTTGAAATCTTCAGGAACGCTTTTCAAAGAAATTGGAGTTTCTCTGGCACTTTCATGTACTTTTCTAAAATGCAGTTGTTTGTAGCCAATGTAATTGAAATTAGGAAATGAAAGAGGAGTAAAATTGTGGATCATCCCATTATATATCTAGGAGTTTTCTCAGGTTGTTTTAGAAATTAAGTCAGATGGGTCTTATTTAAACATCCTGGGAATCTTAGATGGAGATTTTGTAAAGTTTATTTCCGTTTAGTATGTAAACAAATTAACATATGAATATTAGGAAGGAATGGCTTGATTTATATGTAAGCAAACATAATTGTTATTAGGGAAAAAAGAGCACATCTCAAGCACATTATTTTGCTAATAAAGGCTGTAGTTGCTTTTAAAATATTTTCCCATTCTCCTTATGTCTTTCATCCGACACACGCAGCACATCCACGTGTACCCACAGGTGCAGTATCACCCTGCAACACAGCTTTGGGTGTGCATGGTGACACTGCCCTCTGAGTGTAAGGTAGGGTCTGAAAGTCAGGGTCAGGTGATTTGGCACAGAAGTTTTAAATATTGAAAACATATGAACAAGAAAAGAAATGCACTGTGGAATGGTTGTGGGTGTGGGTAAATATTGAAAACATATGAACAAGAAAAGACATGCACTGTGGAATGGAGTGATGGTTTGTGGCTGTGGGTTTTTTTCTTCCTTAGTTTCTTTCTTCTTTCCCCAAATGTATAGTCCCTCTGTGTGCTGCAAGATAACATCCTGGCATTGGAAATAGTGTTAAAAAAAAGTTCAATATTTGCTATAATGATATGGTTTAAAAAATCCTGGTTCTTCAGCTAATCTTTGCTGTTCTAGCATTCCTTAAAATGTATATATACGGAAAAAAATCATGGATCTAAGTCAGTTTATCAAAAGTGATATTATTTTGGGGATGGTTTCTGCTTGGCTGTCTGTAACTAGGGTTTGGGTTATTGGCCCTGATTAAGATTCTAGTTTAGTGAGCATTACGTTCTAATGAACACAACTAAATACATGCTTTTTGGCTTTTTAGAACTGATGTTAAAAATCATTCAAGACAAATCTTGATGGTCTTTTGCTTTGCTTTCTCACAGAAAATGATGAAGGATAACAACCTGGTGCGCCACTTAGACGCCTGTGAAACGATGGGTAACGCCACGGCCATCTGCTCGGACAAAACAGGGACGCTGACCACCAACCGGATGACGGTGGTCCAAGCCTACGTTGGGGATGTCCACTACAAAGAGATCCCTGACCCAGATTCTGTACCCGCCAAAACCCTGGAGTTGCTGGTCAATGCAATTGCTATCAACAGCGCTTACACGACAAAAATTCTGGTAAGTGTGAGAAACTGGCTTTTTCTGGCAATAAAATGAAACAAAGCAGGAGGAGTTGAAATCTTTTAAAGCATGGTTAATTTTTTAACATCCTGGTGTTGATTAGGAAGCATTAAGTAGTGTTGAGGTTGTCAAAATAGCAGGTGCTTTAAAAACTATATATTTTACATTTTTCTTTTAGTGATAGGGATGTACTTATCAGTACAAGATGAGGCTACATTTCAAAATCTCTTGCTGCTGTTAGGTTGGGATGGCCCAGGTTGGGGGCAGGAAAATGTGCTAACAAGAGTAGTTTTCACTGAGACTTCGTATGTGTCAAATTATTTTTGTGTGTCTACGAACTTTCAATTAATTCTCCAATAGGACAAATTGGATTGGTTAAATCAGCGAGGTTAATGATCTTTATTCATTCTGGTTTCAAGTGAATTACGTGCAGAAGTATTCTATTCAGTCTGTTAAGGAAAGCAAAATGGAAATATCCTGTTTGCTTGTGGCATTAAATTCTTGTGTACAGAGCTAATTAGGAGGCTGAAAACTTTGCAGTTCCAATAGATTTGTTTGTTGAAAGGTCAAGCTTAATCTTAATGCTGCAGAACAAATATATTATTTTTTTTTTAGTTTATGAATTTATATATTGTCCTTTTTATAGCTCTATGCTGAGCTGCGGAATATCATCTTGCATAAATTTCATGTTAGTTTTAAAAATAGTCTTTTAAAATACAATCACATAATATAGTTGGTGAAAGAAAAACTCCTGAGTGCTGGAGCTGAGCTACCCAGCAGTTCAGCTGTGAGCATTCAGCGGGGCAGCACCAGTTGGGATGAGGGATAATAAGTACCTGTATAAATCTGTGTTTGTGTGACTGCTGCAGTGGAAATTCCAGTTGCCAGCATCAGTCCTGGCCATCACCATGGAGTTTGACTTTGGGAGGGCTTTGAGACAATGTATAACTGATAAATGGGTGAAATCCCCTGGAAATCACCTTTTTGCTGGATGAAGAGTACTTGAACTTATCTGTGTGAAATTAATGGTGATTTTAGCTATTATAACAGCATCATAAGATCAAGCCTTGTGGTACGGATACCACGTGAATAACAACTCCAATATCAGAGGAGTTAATTTCATTCATTGTTTATAACAAGCTTAAGGTAAAGTTTAAGATACAAAATATTGTTCCGTAGCACTCATTAATTTTAAATCATTAATAAATACAGTAAAAAATACATAAGGGAGTTGTTTCCAGGATGAAGCGTACAGAATTATTTTTCAAGCTGCTAATACTGAATGCGTACTTGTGCACTCATTCTTAGAGCATATTTAATCAAATTGTGAATATCAGCTCAAACCCAAAGGGCATATAAGTGTTACATTGCTAAGATTGAATTTTACATATTCTATTTTTAGTTATCTAGTTATGCCTATGCTGTAAATTGCGCTTTGTATGAACTTCTGTTCAGAATGATCACATATGGGACCATAAAATTAGTCAAGATGCTCTGCTGAATGAGAAATATTCCCTCTTGCATTGTCTTTTGATTAAGGGGCAATTGAACCATTGATAAAAATATAAAAAGAAAATAATATCTCTGCTTGGGATAAAAGATTTGAATTTCCCTGAGAAATTAAACACAAATTATTCCAACTGAACAATAGCATCATTAAATATAGTTCTTTTTAATGCTTTCCAAGGATTAAGTTACTGGCTGAGCTGATTTTGCAGTAGCTTCAGAGCAACTTTAATGGTGCTTTTATGCTGTTTATGTGAAGCTGTTCTCCAAAAAACATTTTTTTTGCAGTATTCATGTTTTAGATAGCTTTCCCACAAAGAAGTAAAAATGAGACATTTTTGCATGTGAGCTGTGATGAGGGCTCTGAAGCTCCAAAATCTCTTGCTCCCAAAACAAAACTTGCATTTTAGGAAGACTTTAATTGCACTTGGAGCCAAAGTCCATCGATCTTGAACATCATGGAGCATTAATGAAATAAGAGACTCCAGATACCAAAACCGGTGATTTGAACTCTTCTACTGAGCTCTTGCTTCCATAAATTAAGTTTTAATTAGAAAAGTATTCCTCCTTCTTGTAATTTCCTGAAAACTGTCAGAGGGCATAGATGACACGCTTGCCGGATGGGTATAATGTGTTCTTATTAAGAAGAGATCACAATTAGTATTTAGCTGAGTGATTCTCGGCACCAGTGGAAAAGACCCAGCTGAACCCGTTCCTGTTGGGCTCTAACACAAGCATTTCATTTGGTACTTGATCCGTGCCCAGGGAGCAAAAAAGCTTCTTATTGCCTGTATTAGGTGAGTCTCTGGGTCTGCATCGGGGGAGTGTTTTCAGCTCTGAGGATCTGGAGTATCGTTTCACTGCATTTGCACAGTGTGTGGCACGATGCAGTGACACCCTTTAACCCATGGTCTCCAAGGAAGAAAGACAGAGATGTCACAGGGAAGTGCAGAACATTGACTTCATGGAATTGTGGAAGCTCCTTGCACAGCTTCTGCCAGCTTAGGGCGTGAAGTAGACGTATGTTAGTCTGTGTGTTAGTAAATATTAGTCAAGTAATGGATGTGACCTTGTAAAATTTTGGGAGCAACAAGGCCTCTGTTGGATAAAACCAAAAGGGGTGAATGAAGCAAAAAAGAGAAAAAAAATAATATAGACAGAATGGAGAAAACAACATTGCCTGTTAATTGTACGATAGAAGAACGATATTATATGATATTATATAATATTATAAGATCTGTCTAAGAAAATAGTGAAGTTCCCAAGGTTACTGCCGGCACCCAGATTCCAACCACGTTCCTACCACAGCCCTGGATGAGGCAGGGCCTTCACCCTACGCTCAGACAGACTCTCCTCACAAGGCTGCAGGGGTGGCTTCAGGGAATGTTCCCTGAGAGGGCTTTTTTGTGGGGCAGAGCAGTGGTTACCCCCCCTGGGTTACATCCCCCCCTGGGTTACATCCCTCCCTGGGCTGGCTGCAGGGCTGTACGGCAGGGGATGGAGCTGCCACAGAGACTCAGTCATCAAGATTTACTAGGAGAGAAAGGAAGGTGTTAATTCACCTTCTTGCTTTGTGTAATTACTTTTGCTCAATATATAATGAAAGATCTTATTTTAATGAGTGGAATAAAATTTCTAACTTCTTTATACTGAGAGGGTTTCAAGAGATTTTGGCACAGCATTTTCCTGTTAAGAATAAATAGTTCTCTGACTGATGATCTGGTGCAGAATACTGGAGTGAATGCACTTCATACTCTCTTGGAGAAAAGGGGTTTGAGGGAGGCTGGCAGAGCAGGTAGGTAACCCATAATATATGAGAGCCATAAGAAGAAATTACATCCTGCACAACAGCTGCTTTGCAAGAAGAGATGAAAATCTCCTGTGGGTATTGAGAACATGGATGAAGTAGCCAGGTGAAGGGTTCTTTTTATTTGGGAGGAATATATTTGCATCCAAAAGAAGTCCAGCTGTCTGGGTTCTTGGGAGACATAATGTTCCCGTCAGAAATGGTCTTTAAAAAGGTGTGCAAAGTACGAAATACACTTCTCTCTTAAAGATTTTTTTTTTTAAATCATATTTAAAGACTAGATTTCATTTGTGAAATACCTGAATTAATCTTGTCTATTTTTTTAATTGGATGAAAAAAAATTGTCCCAAGAATGGTATGTAAGTACACACACATTGTTGAGCCAACAGAAAATTACTGTCATTTTCTTTCACCTTTCATAATTTCATCACTTTCAATATAGTAAAGGCCTCCTTGAAAACAGCTTCAAAGTTGTTTTGGGGAATGTGGGTATTTGGAAGTTTCACAAAAATACATCCAACAATATTTTCTTTAAACCTTTTTAATAAAGTCTTTTGTAAGCATTTTCTCAGAATAAGTTAGGAAGCAAAAAACCAACCTATATTGTGCATGGTATTTACTGTGTAAATAATAATTATTAGAGATAATAGATGATGTAGTTAATTGTCTCTGCTTTTAGGAACAGTAATTAGCGGAGGGTATTGATCTTCACACATCACTTACCATTGAAATTTTATATAATAAGAGGTACAAATATAGCTTTTCCTACTAAATTAGCTACTGAGTTAATTGAAATAACTGTGTTTAGAGAAGACATTTGAATGTACAAAGCCCAGGACACGTTATTATCCCAGTCATGCACTTTCTGCCATCAGGGTGCGGGGGCTTTGTCTCCCTAGCAAAAAGCTTTTCTTTCATCAGGTCTGCTTTTGGAGGGTTGTACGTGAGGAGCAGAATGGAGTCGGCTGCCCAGAAGCCCCTGGGCAGTTGGGATGGATTTACCTAAGCCAAGAGGGATTAGGGAGGTGAGAGCAGGGCCACCCTGGGAGTCTGCTGTTGATGTTGTGATAGTGTCTGGGAGGCTGCTCGGGTTCCTCGTGGCCAGGCTGTTGGAGCCACGGCGGGTTTCCCCACAGCGTGGCAGGAATGTTAGAGGTAGAGAAGGTGAGATAAATGCGCTCAGAGTTAGTTCCTTCTCTCAAGTTCTCGTTATACAGTAAACTGTAATTGTAAATGAACTTTTCCTTCGTTCCTGGTCTCCTTTTTTGTCCAAAAAAGGGGTGATGGTCCTGCCTCAGCAACAAATGAACAAAGGAAGAGAAGGTGGATAAATAAAATAATCCTGCACTGTAGAATGTAGCATGAAAAATTATTCCCAAAGTTTATGATCAAGTGAAATGGTATTTCTTTCTTTCTTTCTTCATGTGACAGAAAACAAGGTAATAATAACCTCCTTCATACTGGCCGCCTTTGCCTTCACAGTTTGGTAACTGGAGATTCCATTTATTCCCGTTGGAATAAATAATTACTGCAAGATTATAAACAGGACTGACAGTCACTTGGAAGCTTTTTGTTACCATAATATCATTTACCACATTAGCTTTTTATTTTTCCTGCTTACTCGTATGAAAATGAGTAAGTTGATTTTTATCTTGCTATAATGCAACAACTGGTTTTTACTATT